ATATTCTCAAGGATTCGAAGTTAATTCATTTAATTGGATAAGAGATATATGTTTGATTAAAATGGAATAAAATGAATATACCTTTGCTGTTGGTGATAATGATAATGGTATTGATATTGTTATATTAATTAAGAATGATAACTATAAATACCAATTAATTAAGAGCAATAAAAATTGATTGAAGAAGGAAGTATAACATCAATTATGCTAGTTAAATCTAAAACTATTGCGTATACTGATTCTAATGATGATTGTTTGAAGATATTTGACATTAAAAAGAAATATTATAACAAAGTATTAAATTATATAGACATCCACATTTATTTATAACAAAAGGGTATGACTATGAATTAAGCTTATTTGCTTTTTTGAAAGATAATGAAAAGATATCTTTGATCAATTTGAGAAACTACCAAGTTCTAAAGTCATTGATTCAAATTATAATCATGATTAATCTGATATTAAGAATAATAGTTTGATAATTGAAAGGATCTCAATAGAAGCATCACAATATATATTTAGACTCATTGATTTATAAAGAGATAGAACATCTGTTGAGATTAGAGAGATCATACATATAGCGCTTTAATGAGAACTTAATCGATTCCTACAATAAAGCTCTTATATTTCTATATTATCCTTTCACCAACTATGGTTTGTTATACCAATCAAATTCAATTATAATAGATCATTAGACTTCAAAATGGTGCTACAGACAGGAACGTCAAAGAAGATTTTGGTGTTTTAATAATCTGTTATATAATTAAGTTTTTTGTTTTTGTTGATAATTTCATCTATGAATCAGGCATTCTTCATTATACCTTCATATTGATTGTCGCCGCCACTTGTTCATCGGTCTTCTCACTCATGAAGAACTAGTCGAGGGTGGCAACATTGAAAAGTGTTAGCTTTGTTTTCTTATTTCCAATACCGAGCAAATTTTTATATCTACTGGTGAAGCTTTGACATAGCTTCAACCTGTAACGCTTTCACCATGATTTGAATCTTTGACAGCTTCATCATGCACTAGGAACAGTTTAGCAGTATATTATAACTCCTTTTTATTGTCTATCAAATCCAAGACTGTGAACTTGACTCTCTTACACATATCGTCGGACCTACCTACTCTTCAAGGCCTTACATTGCCTCGCTTGCTTATGAATGGCTTACATTCACGAGTGTCATTTTAGCCTTTTTACACCTATAGTCAAAGCTACGCATGCCAAACTCTCCTTCAAATATGTGAGTCTAAAAGGGTAGCTTAAAAAGCGGTATCAATATCTTCAGTGACAGCTCTATAGTCACTACAAATCCTCTTGAACTCTTAAGCAAGATCAACTATGTAATTCACAAGCACTGGATCAGAGACTTAAAATTTCTTAATGTAAGCTGGCTTCTCTTCTATGGAATCAGCTTAAACATTCTCATCCATCTGTAGATCAGTAATATTCTTGAAAGACTCAATTTTTGGCTCATTCATATAGTCTAGCTTGCTGAGTGCAAGCATACCTATTACCTTAGCTACTGCTCCATTTGACGTCACAAATATCGGGGGTTGCAATAACGCCCTAGCAAGCATACTAATTTAGAAGCTTGATAAATTCCTCTATCATATTGAGCATGAATGCATCAGCTTCATCTAGTATGAACAGCTCTCCCTTTGCAGGTGTGAAGTTACAGTCTGCGTGATATTGGATCCAGGTCTCATCGTAACCTAATAGAGCCCAGAATTCAGCAAAGGCATTACTCACTTCATAAGATAGTTGTTCTCAAAGACCATTTGCACCTTGGTACATACTCCTCTGATAGGAGCTATTCCTTATGATTAGTGATGATAGCATAGACACTGTGCTCTTAAACATAGACAGCAAGATACTGATAGTCATTCACACACATATTTTGATAATAGGGTCTCTTCTAAACACCAGAGACTAAATTCTGAAACAGAAACCTTCAAGAGCAAGTTAGTGAACTCAACAAACAATGCTTATTCATCAAGTTATACAACAAACTATAGTACTTAGACGGCCATCTACATTGCTGTTGCTATCTCTGAGGTAGTTACTCTGCAATGTGCTTTTAGTATTAGCCCAACAAGGTAGTAATCGCTTTACCAAATCTCTTAGCAAGGCTCAACACTAGCACCTTGAGGAATTAGGATTGTTTATCCTTGTCCCTACTGTCTTAGAGCTTGACCGAACTATACCAGCAAGCACCACCAAGAATGAAAGAGAACATCACTATACCGAGCATTCTCTATTCATCGAATGAATCAGGACGAGTGATTATTATTGGTAACAGCGCAATGTGCGCTTGATGCTTATCACTGCTGATAAATTCCAGCAGTAAGTCTTGTGTGAACTGCTCGCATATATCAAGCAAGTCTTACTGTACTTGCTTCTATCTCCTTAAGCTTTACTAGTGTTTGATTATCAGTCAGTGCAACTACATACACAGAGTTACCTAATGTAGCAGATTCCTAA